CGGGGAAGCTGGGGGCAGAGCAGCTCCAATGGTCCGGCTGCCCGGAGCACTTCCAGGTTCCTGATGGTGCCGGACGATCAGAAGTGCCGGACCATCAGATGCCGGACCAATGGAGTTTTACTGTAGTGTGCTCTAGAAAGATTGTTCTTCATGATGAGAATATTATATTGCAAACAAATATGTGGAGGACAGAGGAAAATAAATGCTTGGATATACTACTTTAGTAAAATTTGAACAATGTTTGGGACTTTAATGACACCAGAGTCAGCTTTTTGTTTTATGAAATCAAATTCTGGATGTAGCCAGATGAAATTTGCAGTAATTTTGATATTTAGGTGTGAAGGACCACTTTCTTTATATTGATCAAGTTCCAGTAACTTATCAAGGCACTTCTCTTGTACATATAGTTTAAGGCCAGAAGGGACTACTAGATTATATAATCTGTTATCTATGAAGCGTTTTTTTCTGACTTGCTTGAATTCCTTGTAGTTGACATTTCTGAGCGCCCTGTACCATCCAGTATCTCTAGCTACTCTTAATAATAGAGTATTGCTTCACTATGTTTACAGTCTTCTACTTAAGTTCCTTTCAGCTAGATTATCTAGAGAATCTAACCATTTTTAAACAAGTGGACATCTTCCTTTCTTTTTTCAAGTAAATTTTTTAATTTTGCTTACTGGTTTTTCTTTCAAAAGAGTTCACTGTTTATGTTGTGTTAGATTAAACACCGACTTTCTCAGTCGTGACTAACTATACTATCCATATGAGAAATCAGATTCTGACATTCTTTTCTGTTGCTTGCTCCTGAATGGGTAGAGAGAGCTGTCCATTCCCTTCTATGTAAAATATTCACTGAAGAACAATGGCTGAAGCAGGGCCAAAATATTGGGAGGAGGAGGAAAAGGCCTGGAGCTCCATTCAGGATGCCAAAGATCAAATTGTTGGCATGGGGGTGGGCAGATGGGAGATGGACATAACATTTAAGAAAAGAGGATGTGGCAATCTGATGCTAGTTTACTGTTGCTGCTTTTGCAAATGTAAAACCTTTAGTGAAAACAGTGGCTGCCAGCAGGTGGCCAAGAAATGACTACTTTGAATATAAATTTTAGGCCTAACTCAAGAATTCTGTGTGGTGGTTTTGTTCTTTTTTGTTCATGACAACAGTTTTTCCCTTAGTTACAAGAATTATTTGTCTTTGTGATTTTGTTTTGTTGCTTATAATTAACTTTTTTCCCCTCAAAAATTAGTGTTGGAGGTGAAGACAAGCTCAGTGTAACATTGTCACTGTTGCACTCGTTTTTCAAATATGTTATGTTGGTAACATGCCTTTAAAAACTTTATTTTATCAAGGAAGAGGCGTCCAAATCTCCAGTTCAGAACGCTTCATTGTGCATCTTGGAATCTGAGTCTTCTTGCAGCTATTCTTTAACAAGTCTGCCTTCTGAGCCACTAGGTAAAATATACTTGAATTCTTTTAGTAAAAATGAATTCGGTGTCTGCTGGAGTTGTTTTAAGAATGGAGGGAATGGAAGCAGAATATTTCATAATTGGTAGCTCATGGAAAACTTTAAAGTCTAAGATAAAGATTAACATTTTGAAAATGGATTAAAACGTAAAGAAAAATAAATAAGACATTTTTAAAATTCTCTAATAGCTTTTCCACCTTTAAATGGTGGTTTAGTTTGCTAGTCAAAAAAAGGTTTGATCAGGACTTGTGGTTAGAGATATAAAGTTAGCGGTTGCATAAAAGGAGAAAATAGGAAAACATAAATCATTTGCAAGTGTTTTTGAGTTGCAGATATTTGATGGGAAATGTTAAAACATGAGAAATATGAGACCAATCTGTCAAGTGTGCTCATGTGTTCATTAGGTATATGCAAAAAATTTGAGAGGTTATTAAAAATCTAAATTTTGTGCACAAACTGCAGAGTCCCTATTACGCAATTTTGAATTTCAGAGGCTTCTTAACAATTTCAGACTTGCCAATAAGGTGCTTGAACAATCTCTCGAACCAAAAGTGGTTGTTTATGTAGATAGCATTTCTTTTTTTGAAATACCACGTCTTTTTTTTTTTTTTTTTTTTTATGGTTAACAGTGGAGGACTCTGTTTTACTGGACGCTGATGGGATTAAGCATCAGAGAATGCAGTTTTCGGTGTGGGTTTCCTTCTGTGAAATTTATAATGAGTATGTGTTTGACCTTCTGGATGTATTTGCTATGTCAAAAAATCAAAAACGCAAAATTCTAAGAATCTGTGAGGATCCAGGGGGAAGCTCTTGTATAAAAGGTAATAACATTACTGTTGTGATGTTATTTGTCTTGTATAAATGTTAGTAACTTGATGTGTTTGTAAACAAGTCTCTTTCTACAGATTTAAAGTGGATCAACATTCAGAGCACTGAAGAGGCTTGCAAAATATTAAAAACAGGAAACAAGAACCGAAGCTTGGCTTGCACTAGAATGAACCAACACTCAAGCAGAAGGTTTGCTTGCCTGTAACAATATATATGTCCATGTACTTTACCCTTTTTTGTTTGTTTTAAATTGAAAAAAATTATAATACTTTGAAAGCATCTTTGGAAAGAACTATCAGTTGATTGCTGAAGACGTTGCTTGATTGTATTCTTGCCATTGTAGCCGGTCCTTAAATTCCCTTGTTTGGGGAAGAGAGGTTTTGACAAAGCTGGTTTAACAGTAATTTGAGTAATTTTCTTCACCTCTTCAATCTGACCGGTATGGTGATCCCTTTTTGAGTCAAGGGCTGCTGACCGACAGAAAAATCAGTCAGGGGCTGCACACAAGTGAGAAACAAACTGAGAAACTCCTGACTGAGGAGGAGAAAAACCCTCCCCACATTCCCCTTGAACACCAGAGCCTGGGGGGAGGCAAGCTAATAGATTTTGTGCTCCAGCCCTGCAAGTGGGTTGGAGCACTAGCACAGACTCTCCAGTGCAGAGCCTCGGGGGCCCGTAGCCAGGCAAGTTGGGGGCTGCATCTGGCCCCTGGGCCTGAGGTTCCCCACCCCGATCTAAGGCCTCACTATGGTACAGAAATTGCACAGGTTTAATCACTTTATCTCAAAATGGATCAAATCCTGTATCCAGTAATCAGATCCATACAATTGAGATGACAAATCAGTGGATCTTTGTAGAGATAAATAAAATAGGATTGGAATGGCTATTTTCTCTTCAGCCTCAGAAGGTAGTACAGGGTTAGGGATATCAGTGGTTAACCAGTAAGCATCACATTTATAGTTAACTGACAGTGCAGCTAGGCTAGAGCCAACAGCCCTCTCCAACCAGAGCACCCCCTGCTTGCTAGGCTCAGCCAGAGCAGTCCCGCCGCCCCATAGCAGGCCTAGCCAGGTTACAACAGCCCTCCTCACCCTTGAGATCCTGTTTAAGTGGTTAATTGGTTAAATGTTATATTTAACCAGTTAACTGATTAAACAGGATTTTACTAGGCAACTGCTTGGTCTCCAGTTGGGGTTTCTCAAGATTTCCTTGTCTTCCCACTATCATTTAACCTGCAGTAGAGCCTTTCTTCTGATGCTAATATGTGTACCTTTTGCCAGACTAAGATATTGCAGTTCATCTTTCCATTTAGTCTCTATGGATACAGCTAGTTGGCTGTAGCTCAGTTCAGAAAAGACTGAGATGATATAGGGTTATGTTTAAGTAAGGGGGAAAAGTATGCCCATTTGTTACTCAGTTTTATAACACGGGAAGGTTCTTTTTACACTTTGCTGTGTGATGTCTGTTTATCTGTTGAGCAAGGATGCTTTTTTCAGTCTGTCTTCAATGGGAAAGCTCACAATCTCCTATTGTACAGTGGCAGCCTGAATCCACCCATAGAAGGCCATGCTTGATTATCCCTTAAGCTAGTGCAGAGCATAACTGTCCTCTTCAGCAGGGAAAGTACCTTAATATCTTACAGGTACTGTCCTTTTGCAATCCATGTCTATACCAGCTGTTTAAATAGCTCACTGCTGGCTTTTGCTGCAGCTCAGCCAGCTCTTGCCAGAACTGCACACCAAGGTGCACCCACTTACTTTCACTTCTGGTCTCCTTTCTTAGCAAAGCTTCATGCATGGAACAGTTACACTGATGCTCCATTTCTGATTCTAAGTCATGGCCTGTACACACTAAAATAATGCCTTCAGAAACTGTGACTCAACAGTTGGAGTGCCTTTATACCAAACTTTTTAGTAGAGATTAACTAGGGTGCTCAGACTATGCAGGAGGAATTAGAAGCAGAACATACTAATGCTGAAATTTTACTTCCATCTAGTCTAGCAGCCAGAGTATCAAATTTCAGAGCACTAATGACTGCTTCTTTCTGAGGGTATTGATCTAGGGCAGCGCTTCTCAAACTGCGGTCTGTGGACGACTAGCAGTCACCAGCTGCCTTCCAGGTGGTCTGTGGCTTGAGCTCAGCCTCCCTCCCTGGCAACAGGGAGCCTGCACTGGTGCTCCAGGCTCACCACTCCCCTGTGAGGTTGGAGTACCACCACTAGCTTCTTTCTGGAGGCAAGGGAGAAAGTCCTGAACCTCCTGGCCAGATTTTGCCCACAGGGAAGAAGCAGAGCCAGAAGCAGGTCTGCACGCTGCTGCTCCCTCTCCCCCAGCTGGGGGAACAGCAGTGCAAGGACACACTGCCTGGAGGCT